TTAACCCTTTACACACAATATCTACTAACAAGGAGAATTTGTTCAACAATCAGGAGCTTTAGTTGGTGATCATTTCCTTTATTCTCATGACCTTGCTGTTTGAATCAGCAGTGATACTTTAATTAAGGAGAATTTACAAGTACATGTAGATCCTGGTCAGTTCTTAGAGATTAAAGGTTTAAATTACTGTTTTCATATCTCTAACCATGAACCAGACCAACTAAAAAGAAAAATTTTTCGAACAGTTTTAGTGTGAGGTATTAGGACATGATCAACAATGTGAGTATGGTCAATTTATAGGAGGACAAATAGTTACACTTGCAGTTTGAATATATCTTACGACCTGCAATGATAAAATAGTAAAGCTCGAGTAGTTACAAGTAACAACACAAATCATTCTGGGATTTTAAGAGAAAGTGAGTGTGACACTGATAACCAAGACGTAGCCTTTAAGAGCAGGAGGTTCCGAAAACCTGGTCTGGCTCTCGACCAACTTAAATTGAAAACAAAATTTAAGACCTGACACTAAAACGTCCACCTGGTAACAAATAACATCATTATAAATTACACATAGAGCAAAATAGGTTCATACTTGTCCCTGTTCCAAAGGTACTACCAGTACCAAAAGGTGTATTACTGGTAGATCCAAACATTTCTAAAGTCCCTGATTGCAATCTGAAGCAAACATAAACACGACTGGCAATTCTTTCACTCGACTTCCAACACGTGTAATACTAATATGTCAATCTTTCAGATGTTGATATCCACTTTTAAATCCATAATAACAAACAGTATTCTCGAGAAGTGTTTCGTGAAGTGTATGTACCTTCAATCCACGGTCGTATTTAACGCTGAACTTATCTATTTTGGGGAGTATTACGATCGTTGCTGAGCGGAAGACAAACGTTGAGAACTCAGCGATCCGTCAAAGGGGGGGCATCCCACAATGCAGTAAGAGCATCAGTATTCATGTACTCTCAGCAAAGTGTCTCTTAGTCGAGAACATCCGCTGGCAATAAGATACATATCACAGACTCAAGTCCCAAGTCCAACATGGCGGACAAGGAGGCGTCCTCGAAGGCTACGTCTGCGAAACTAGGTCCACAAAGAAGCCTTAGAAAGAGGCGAAAAGAGCTTCGTCACAGAGCTCAAAGTCTCGTTGAAGGAGCTACTGATCCTTGGGAAGATGTGGAAGAGTACGAAACAGATATCCCCGAGGGCGAAGAAGATGAATTTATTGACGAGGAAACCGCTGAATGCGCTGAAGAAGTTATTGAATTTACCTACACCATAAGAGAACTTGGAGCAGAAATGATCCTAGGTTAGGAGTAGCAATAGGAAATATTGATCATTCAAAAAAAAAAACATAAGTAGGAAAGATTACCCTGGTCTCTTGAACACTTTATCCCCACATGTACAGCTGAGTTTACACAGTGCATTTGCTTTGCGCCTTCTGGCGAATTAGGGTCTTTTGCCAGCATCCCTCTCCTCGAGGAAAATATCTGTTTCCCTAGATTTGAGCGTATTTACTTGCAGGTAAATTCAAGGCTAACGGGGAGATAACAATTCCCGTATTAGAAAAAAAATTAGTTGATGAAGATGGAAAAACATAATTAAAGAAAATAGCTTTCTTTCGATTCTCATGTCGATGATTGAAAAAATATGCCATTATTAAGATAGGGAGATGGGTTCAAAATGAGTAGTTTTTTTTTCATTCATGATCATGTAAGATTCACATATGTAAATGCAGCAGTACTGCAGTGGTATTGAAATCATCAACCAATCCTTGCAAAATTTTCATTCTATAGGATATGTTTGGTGGTCACTAATCCATGGAATAGCCCCAATGATTTGGTTTTATCCACTGAATGAACTTGAAATATCTGGTTATGAAGCATTTGTGGTGACAATTCTTTCGCCAATATTTACTGGAATCAGTGCCATGCTTCACTTTTCTGGTACCATTCATGGCCTAGCCTTTTGGCGAGTTCTTTCTTTAGTGGGTGTAGCTTCTTTTCAAGCTCCATCAACCCTTGTTAGATTGATAATGTTGGCAGTTGGCTGTGGAACGGGCATGCTGTGGTTCTGTGGAATGATATGGTCTAAAGATCCAAAAGAAAGGTGGGACAAAGCACAGCTCATTTTTTTGTGTTGATGGGTCTTACTGGGTGTTAGAGTAAAAGTGTGATACGAGCCCAGTGGCCAATCAGGCCCGCATTTAACTTTGGTTTCGATAGTGTAAAGCCACTAGGAGTATTTATACTCCCCCCTGGATGCGATGCAAGTCCATTGCAGGGTTACCCCCTGTATTGAATTTGCCAGTACCCGTTAAAACACCTCTGTGAAGAGAGGCATTGTGAGAGTAAATTGTCTTGCCTCAGAACACAACACAATGTCCCCAGGCAGGGCTCAAACCCGAACCACTTAATCCGCAGTCAAGTGTACTAACCATGAGGCCACTGCACTTCACATGGGTGTTAGAGTGTCAAAGTTAATTCTTTTACATTTACCTTTTCACTAAGGACTAAGAATCTTACAGCCCATTTTTTAATTTCAGGGTGCTCTCCTTTTGGGGCCTTATCCTAGGTTTCTTTCTGTTGTTGTTGCTACGTATTGCATACATCACTGTCAACCCAATCTGGTCTGATGTCACCAGCAACAGGGTTATTCTTCTCGTCGCTGTTATTTCCATACTGGATAGAGTCTACACTAGCTACATGATGTCAGTCACTCAACCAAGAGCCCAATCCAAGTCATCAATTGAACCCCAAGATGCTAGGGTCACTGGTCCAGGGTGGTTCTTGGTGGCATTAGGATTTGGTGCATTGATGTTCCTTACTCATGATGTGTTTGGGGAGGTGTCACTTGTATGCCGCTGGGCTGTTTCTGGCTATCCAGACACAGGACCTAAACCTAACCCATGGGGGTAAGTAAAATGGTGATTATAATTATTTGATAAACTTTTTTTATCCATTACTACACTCTTTAAAATGCAAATGAAACTACTATTTATGCACTAATGTACAAACAAGGTAGATAAATTATTGTATTTTTCTTATTTATTAGTGCAGCTGTTATCATTGCTCTTGGCATAGGAGTCATTCTGTCACGCTACCAGTGGACAAGCAATGTGTTCTGGTGGCTGATTGGTTCCACTGGTGCAGCATTGCTTTACTTTGCTCCTCGGTATTGGTCAATGATTGGTGGTCTCTTGCTCTCCATATACACCATGTCCATTTGGCCAGCTATGACTGATAGGCTGTTTTGTCGACCTGTTGGGCGTACGCTGACCCTGGCCAACCTTGTTTACATTATCCTTGTTTTGGGCTCAGTGTGGGTTGTGGCTTATAACTTTGTTCCTGGAGGAGAATATACAAGAGAAAAGACCCATGTATTGCTGGGAATTACAATGGTCCTCATTGGTAAGTACAGCAGATAGTTTGTCTATTTGCATGTGTTTAATCCTCTCATTCCCAAAATTTCAGTATTCCAGACGTCTCCTTCAGTATCACAGTCTTTTCATCACTTTCTTGGTAGACAATCTATTGATGGTAGCAAGAAATTTCTAGTAGATTGGAAATGGAAGTGAAAGGGTTACAAAAAGCCATCATGCATGTAGAATCAGGCATGCAAGTTGTAAATTCATTATCCTTTCAGGAGATATGACCTTGTCCCTTTTGAAATATAACTGGCACACTGCTCAGGTGACTCTAGTTAATATTAAGATCATCATTAGGAGCATAACATTGTTTTTTTTCTGTTTGTTCTTGTTTTCTTAGGATTTGCGTTGAGAACAAAGTCAACTCCAGATGTTAAAGAAGCATATGGTAAAATAAAGAAGGAAGAAAATGCAAAGGATGGTGAAAAATCCTCCCATGGTCGTCTGGTGATGAAATTCAATAACGTGGCCTTTCTTGAAGAACATGGTGATAGGTTTTGGTTCTTTAAGACTCATGTCATACCAGGTAACGATTATCATTCTTTTGAAGTTCTCTTAATTTTTGAAAGTGGGAAGGCTTAACTATACAGTTGTCTTGCCAACATTCTATTGTTGGTATATACAATTTTTTTGAGGTGCATGTAAGAGAAAAACATTGTATATTTACTTATTACACTCTTAGAGAGGGAAATTTTCAACTTCAAATCAATATTTACAGACTGAGAAAGGACAGTAACTGTTTCATCCCAGCATAGTTTTTTTCTTTTTTTTTCATTTTCTGTTTTGGTATTTTGTAGTTCTTGTTGGTGTTATTGTGTTAGCTGTTATCCTGATGGCAGTAAGATTTCACAGATTAGAATACTCCCAACAACACAAGGTCTGGCTATTTATTATTGTTGTCATTGTTATTGTTATTATTTATCTTTGATTGAACAGATTTTCCTCATCAGGTTTCTTTCCTAACCTTTTGAATGTTTCAACAAGTAAATAATCTTGATGATTGATGAGAGTGCTCGCCTTCCACCAATGTGTCCCGGGTTCAATTCCCAGACCCGGTGTCATAAGTGGATTGAGTTTGTTGGTTCTCTACTCAGCTCCAAGAGGTTTTTCTCTGGGTACTCCGGTTTTCCCCTTTCCTCAAAAACCATCATCATTTGAATTTATTAAATTTAGAGTTTATTTGGATTTATACACGACCTCACAAGCTGTTCAGCTTTAAACATTATCATGTCTAAATAAAGGTGTTATTATTATTATTATTATTATTATTATTATTATTGTTATTATTATTATTTTGCAAAATTTAATCTTTTTTTTGTCTGCAGGAAGACTCTAATGTGTTTTCAGCTATGATCTGGACTGTTCATTTCGCATATGATAATGTTGGATGGCCAAGCTTTGAGAGAGCAGCACAGATGATCAATGATACCAGTATGTTATTCATTCATTCACTCAATCATTCATTTGCTTTCATTGTATTTTTTCATTGTGTCTTCATGGAAGCTGTTATGCCTTTCTTAAGTCAAACATATTTTCTGTGCAAACTCATCTATAGCTGCAAAGAAGAACTAAAAATTCCAGAGTTCCATCATCTGACCCTGTATCCTTCTTAATGCTTTCAATTGGCGTTTTTCTTCTGAACAGATGCTGATGTAGTCGGATTTTTGGAAAGTGACTGTTCTAAGCCATATCTGGGAAATCATGACTTGGCCATGTGGTTTGAGGAGAGACTGGGAATGTACTCAGATTTTGGTGCATCCACCAGGGATCACACATGGGGGTAAATCAATCAACATCAGTCAGCCATGAGTGAATAAGAACAATTGAGGATTTTTTGCTGTTTTTGTGTCAGACTTAAAACTGACTTTGTTAACTTTCTTTCCAGTGCCACACTACTCTCTAAGTACCCAATAGTGAAATCCCTTCATCACTTACTTCCTTCTCCAGAAGGTAAGAGTCCATTCCAAGTGCGGAAATTATTAATATTTTTTTTTCCACTGTATAACATTAAATTCATTCAGCGTTAGCTGAGTTAGGTTGTGTTAACTTCAGAGGGTTCCCTTGGCGAGGGGATCTTCTTCCTTCAGAGGTCAAACGGTCCTGGAAAACCTGGAAAGTCCTGGATTTTTATTTTGACATTTTCTAGGACTGGAAAGTCCTTGAAAAAGACTACAGGTCCTAGGAAGTCCTGGGAAATCTGCTTCCCCCCTTAAGCAATAATGTTTTTAGGATTTACGTTACAAAAAATATATTTCGACCGTAAGGAGAATTAATTTTGAAATCTTGGGATTGAAAGAGTTTAAGGTGAGTCCTGAAAAAATCAATCTGAGTCCTTGGAAAGGTCCTGAAAAAGTCCTTGAAAATTGTCTCCTAAAAAGGGTGCAAACCCAGTTCCTTCTCCTTACCTGCCATATGGAATTATGATGTTTTTACAAAAAGAATAATGCAAAAGGCTATAAACTGTCACGTATTCAGATAGATTTATTAATACGTTATCCACTGCGATCTTCTTACGAAGAAGCAACATCACGAAATTAGTTTAAATATACATGTACCAGCGTTCCATCCCAAATTTTTCTCTCTTTTTTTTTTTTGTTAGGAGAATTGGCTCCAGCTTTGAGTGCAACCATCAACGTTACTGGTAACTTGGTAGATTTTGTGTTGGTTCACATGGGAAACGATCGGTGAGAAATATGTAAAAAAAAGACTTCTTAATATTAGCGCTGCAGGTCGCGTGTTGCTTCACCCGGGGGATACATTTAGGGGAACAGATAATATTGTTGTACCTAGATTTACATCTCGTTATTTACGGCAATCTATTAGTTACAGAGAGGCAGTCCTCTGGATTGCAATCACATCGAAAAACTCTGATATTGCTTCTGCGCCACGTAAAACTATCAGCTCAAGATTAATTAAAATTAAAGGTTTCACAGAGTTTACTCTTAAAGTAGAATCAGCTTCTACAGTTGCTTTTAGCAATCAGGATTTTAGATATTTTTAGGATTTTAAGATCTTACAACTGTATTTACATGAGATTTTAGATATTTTTTCCCTTTAATTTGATTAGATAACGAAACACACGCCCCATAAGCGTTTAGCTTTTATCATTCATCGTGTATGAATAAAGTTTATGTATGCATGGAGCGAGTAGGGAGAGGTTTGCCGAGGGTCTGGCACTAATAGTGCAATCCCTGTTGCCAGGTTAGACTTGGTGATCCCTCACCAGTTCGCGTTGCGCAAGGCCGCATTCTTGTCCACAGCCGAAAAAACGGTCTTGTCGAAGCGCAAATAATGAGGGAACTTATTCAGCGTCAAAATAATCTGTCGACACCTATCGAGAGATTTAGCACCGCGTTTACGTGAAACGTAAACGGCAAGAGTTACCTCGTGACCTTGTTTTTCCCGCCACTTTTTCACGTTTGCTGGTTGTGCTGTGCCGTTTCTACGTAAAAGTAATAGGTGAAAGTAACCTGTTTCGATTGTCCCGTGTACATAAGATGTTCTTCACTTTTTCTCTCACAGAGTAAAAATTAATCGCTGAATAAACGGCACCAAAACTATTCCCTGTAAGTCATGCAAGGGCGCCTTCAAATCCACCCTGACGTGAGCTCACGCGAAGCTAAAGCAGTAAGGTTCACGCTATTTTACGTGAAACGTGAAAGGACAGCTGACATTTGCCGTTTCACTTAAAAGCGTGCTAAATCTCTCTAATAATCCTTGGATTTCACTCTGTCAGTGATGTTTATAGTTCTGTCTGCGCAAATCAGCAGTAGTATTATTAGTGGTAGTAAATTAGTAGTAGTATAATAGTAACTCAAGTATCTATTTACATATTTTAATTAGATTTTTGTAGGACTGTAAGGTGTGTTTAACTTATGTTACAGGGATAACTTGGATCGAAAACTTCAAGCTCAAGAGCTAGCCAGAATTTTGGATGAGAGGTAAACGAACCCTTTCTTTTGATTTGTATTCTTTATATTATTGTAATTCACACTTTACCACCACGAATCGACATGAGCCACACCAAATCTCGCGATCCTTACATCTTGCAGTGTAAACCCTGTGGTGTTTCTGGGGTATGTAACCTCATCACCCCGCAGTCGTGATTACCGCGTGCTGACGGAGAAGGGACGAACGAAGGTGGGAAAGAGTTTTGTTTGTGATAGTTTCAGCGAGCAGTCGAGCGCTTCTATGAACCACGAAATTCTCAAGGTCTAAGTGCTTTTTCTTCCAGCTGATGAGCGCATGTTTCTTAATTCGCTAGTCCTGAGAGGTTTGAATTGACAACCAATCACAATCCCTTATTATCAATGGTATTAGGATCGGGTTAAGTACAATTGCTTAGATTAGGGTTATCGATCTCTGCGCCAACATGCCAACTCGCCGTCAACAAATTCGGCGACTCCAAACCATTTGTCAAGTCACTGACATCTTTAGTCAAGTCGATGTGACAGGTAACCAACTCGACCACTAAGAGCGATTTGACCAAAGGTGTCGGCGAGTTGACTAAAGGCGTTGGCGAGTTGACCAAATGTATTGGCGATTTGATCAAAGGTGTTGGTGATTTTACCAAAGGTGTTGGTGATTTGGCCGAAGGTGTTGGTGATTCGACCAAAGGTGTTGGTGAGTTGACTAAATGTGTTGGCGAGTTGACCAACGATATCGGCGAGTTGACTAATGGTGTTGGCGAGTTGGTTGATGCTGAAGTGACCGGGTACCAATTCCATTGAGTTGGCTGATGGCTTAAAGTGGTTGCTTAACTCTCCGATTTGTCCCGTCCTTTGACAAGTGTTTCACTGTTATCTTGATAATGGAACCAATAACACCACGAGCGTGGTAGTGTTGTTGTGTTTTGTTGATTATTTTCCTATCCTATATTTCAGTTACTGATTCTGACCTTTTTCGCTTTGACAGGACATCGATGCGACAGATTCTCACCGCTGGTGCGAGTACATTATGTACCGCGGGCTCGTACGTCTAGGATATGCTCGAATTTCCCACGGAGGACTCAGCGACACCGAGGTGCAAATGGCCAAATTTCGTATTCTCCCACCAGGGACAACATACCAGGATAATGAAATCCTCACAACGAGTCCCAAAGATGTCCCGGAGAACATAAGATTTCCTAACAGGTATTATTGGCGCTGAAGGAGGAGTGTTTCTCCGAGAAGATTTGAGACGAGTCGGAAAGAGGTTTACCAGGGCTCTGGCTCTAACATTGGGAGTTAGAGGCAACGGGAGCGCCACTAAACATAAGGTTTAATGAGCAGAACAATGGCTGTGCACGTGCGTTAGAAATCTTTGTAGATTTTTTTGCGTCCCCTCCAAAACAACAACGTGAAATGACCAAATTTTGCGTTGTCTAGAGAACGTGAACAACGACGGCTAATTTTTTATATTTCGTTGCCTGATTGAACCCTGTGTTAAATATATTCAGTTTCGAGATAGTTTAGAAAGCGAGAAAAAAAAAACAGCATCTCGAGATTAGAAGGTGAAATACAAGTTCATTTTTTAACTTACGTTGTCCACGGCGTCGCTGTCGTCGTTTCTTAAACTCCCTGTTATCAGTGCTGGATCCATTGCAGACCTCTCGCCGGTCGCAGAGGTCTGAGCTGGTAAGTGGGGGTCTGGCACTAGTAATCAGCACCAGAAGCCCTTGCAGACCTGTCGCCGACTCGCGTTACTAAGGATGATATATACTTTACCAGAGGCGAAGAAACGCTGTTGGCGAAGCACTAACAACGAAGGCTTGCTCGCTCCGTTAAAAACTTTTGCACTCATTCGTTGAAATAAAACAAATTAGTCCGTAACTTCTCTAGCAGTCAGAAATTTTTACCCAAAACCATTTTAAAATGTCTACAAACCTAAAAAACAGTATCAAGGTTAATGGAAGCTTAGGAGCCAGTATCAACGACACCTTTAGTCGTGTTACATAACTCATTATTCGGAGATGATCGAGACTTTGCTTGCAAAGTAACAAAATCCGCCCTAAATGGACATTTTCGCTCTTTAGAATTAACTCTTTTATTTCTTCTACAGGTTTGGTGCGTTTTACGAAGGACATTATTCTGCTTGGCGACATCACTATCACATGTCAACTCCGAAATATTTTCTGCCGGCGAAGAAAGAGAATACGAGCTAAGCTGGCTTAAATAAACATTAAAGAATAGAGTGCTGCTTAACGAAGTCTCAGGAAGACGTAAAAGAGGTGTTTTGAAGGCGTCATCTGTGTGTAAATTGCGATGTGAAACTGTTAAAAGAGTCGGGAATCTCTGAGCGCGCTGAAAATCAAGAACAAATGAATGTACGACTGTTGGTTCCCAATTTGCACATCGAACATTCTGGAGAGAAGGGCAGGCTAAGTTATATTAGAAAAAGCTGATTTGTGTGGCATCCTTGTGTGGAAGTAGAAGATCATGACTCGAGATGCCCTGTTTACGATGCATAAGTCTGAGAGACATCAGGGACAAGTAAACTATGGCTAGCTAGCAAACCGGATAGGAGTACCCAGCGGTTAATGTCAGTGACTGGGTACTTTGGCCTCTTTTTTAAAACGAGGCCAGGTGCGCGGCCATTCTTGTGAAAATGAGATTAATGTTTTGGTGAATTAAAATTTATTATCATATGAAAGGATTGTAGAAAATCTCATTCGTGTATAAATGTCCTCTCCGATTTGTTTTCTTTTTGTCTTCACGCGCGGCGCGCGTGATTTTACAGATTAGTCATTCAAGTCAAAGAACTTTTAACCTTGACATTGAAAATTGACGTGAACATTTTTTTCTCGCGTATCTTTTGTTGTTTGGTTTTACGGAGTTTGTTTTTTGTTTTTTTTTTCATTATATGAGTCAGTTTCGTTCAAGCCGATTTTTTATCCCCCAGTTTGGAATTTTTAAGAAGTTTCGCGATTTTCATTTCATCGGAATGTTTTGGGTCTTTTTTAACGCATATTTCATTTAATACATATTTTCTACGGAGTTTGGACTCAAGCCTCTTTTCGTTATTTAGATTAATTATTTTACAAGAATGAGCAGCAGGACTCGCTTCGAAAGAGGCTTAGGCTTGGGTCGCACTTGGCAAAGTTTGGTGTGAATGTGGTTACTTTGGTGTAAAAAGTCTGTCATCGGGGCACATTGCCTAATGCGACCCTAACTTTTCTGTTTCGCAAAAACTTTGAAAACCGGCCAAAACATCAAAGACGCCGTAGTGCTTGGGTGGGGGAGGCAGATTTCGGAAAACTCGGGCTAAACATTAGCTATCACAGCGGTAACTGTCATCGCTTGTCAGTAAACAGCAAAAAGATAATATGCAATAAAATTAACAGCGCGCGAGATTTGCTTCAGTTCGCGCTCTTTCTTTAAATCCCTGATGCTCATTCTTTAAATCCCTGTATTTTCTCCGGTGGTAATGGGTCCCTGAAACTCGATTGCTGTCGTACCAAACGGTGATTCAACATGTTCAAAATCTGGTTAAACGTATTTCTCGTCACACGAAGCTGCTGACGAAAAAATTCTTGAGGTATCGTTGGATCGTACGAGTAGGTCAAACCACGACTCGACTGGTCGCAGAACTGACCTGGCATATATGGCGCTCGAAGTAATCTTCGCTGACGTCCATCTCTCGCCCTCATCATAGCGGTAGTCAAAACAGTTAAACAGGCGTGAACCCATCTTTCATACATCATACGAAAGACAAATAAGTGCTCATGATTTAACTGAATAAAAAGAATAAGCATCACCGTGATCGTTATTAACAATGTTTCAACGGGACGCATTTTTTTAACGTTTGCTTTCCTTTTTCAGCTCACTGCTCTCTCCCCATAACACGTGGATAAACGTGTGTCTGGTTTATCAAAGTGTCATCACTGACATATTTTTTTCACCTAGTGCGACCCTGATAGTTGAAACCAAAAGTTTGCTTTCCGGTTGCGGTTTCGAATTTTCTGTGTTTTTTTTGCCGGCAAAGTTGAAAACTTTGCCCATGTGTGACCCAAATGGGCTATTATAAAACCCACAAACTCCAAGTTAAACAATGGTGACTGTGTACTCAGATCATGTTGTGGCCTGCATGTGGGTCACGAGGCCCGCTTGAGAACAGCAGTGGAAGTCATAGCGCAAGCAGTTAAAGCGGGTTTCATCAGTCGATGGGAGTCTGTTTGAGTATCCCTCCCCATTCAGGAAAAATTATTTCTGAGAAGTTAGATTGGTCCAGTTAGGAAGAGGATCCGAACCGTTCGGCCAAATCAATCAATTTCGAAATTTTATATTTTCTTCCGGATTCTTTTTAGTTTGTTTCTTCAACGCCAACAAAACTCTTGAAGGACGGCCTTCTCTTAAAACTTGACCATTTTTCCTAATCAGTTGCTCATCGTACGTTCCCGTAATCAGCAACATTACGGTTCCAAATTTCTAAGTTTGACCGACTGCAAACCGCGAAATATAATAAAATGACGTTACCCTAACCAATCCGAACCGTCTGTTGATAACTATGCAATGAACATGGTTGCTTGAATTAAAGCTCTTTATTAAAACTGAAATACTTGGGCTTTTTTCGTATTTCTCCTCGCACCTAACCTCTTTGTTTCGCGTGGTGTTCTTGTTCTAAACACCACTGACGGGGACGACACGGAAGGAGCCTAAAACGATTTTGAAATACGAACAAATTTTCTAAATTGCAAAGCGATAAAGTTGAAATTTGAAAGAAACCCTCCAAGTTGTGACGACAAAATTTGTGAAGATGTGCATAAAATATTTTTATTGTCGACCAAAAGACCTCGCTTAGACTTACTGTGGAAAGACCTACAAAGGTGTTCGTTCGATGCAAACCTTCTGAAAATTTTCGCCAACTTCATAAACCAGAAGACAAGAGTAATTCAGTATGTCAAGTTACGCTATTATTTTTTAGATCTCGTAATTTCCATCCAAAAGCAAAGTTGTATGTTCGGTTCAAGTGCAGAGGGACTTCTGCCTTTCGACCTGTTAATAATAAAAGCACGTCGTTCAGTGTTACCACCAACGCAGTCGTTCCTTGGGATACACGCAACGGGGAGAGTGACATTTCAAAGGTCAGCTGCGTTATAGACCGCAAATACAGCTTGACAAAAGAATTACGTATACTGACTTGTTTTGTTTCCTGAAACACCAAACGCCTAGTCCACGTGATACAAGGCAGTTGACATAATTATTGCAAGTTGCGACAGAATCAATATTGGCCTTTCTGTTTTGTTTCTTTCACGTTTGGTTATAGTTTTCATTTTCTTTGTTTGTTTCTTTTTTGGTAAAGAAGGGGCAGTACGGGGACTGTAGCATAACTCTTCCTTTACCCTCTCCCTCTTAGTAGCCTTTTAATAGTCAGTCAGGTCAAAGTCCTCTTTCCTTGACTGCGCTGGCATAATAATCGTAAACACTTTATAGTGGAAAGTCACGAAGTTAGAATGGATATACACTTTAAATAATCTGTAAAATTATTCTTTGTTCTCTTATATGGGAAACATACTTGAAGATCTTTCGTTGCAAGTTTAAATTTTTTTGAAAGCAGACTTGCATAGTGTTTTATTCTTAAAAGCCGGGTAAGGTATAGCGCCAATATTAGTGCGTGACCAGTTGACTTTGGTGGACTCGAATTGAATTTTTCAACGAAGTAAACATTTAAAAACGATGATTACTAAAATTATCTTTAGAGTTATAGCCATAGAATCACCATATTTCATAATAACATGGGTGTCGACCTTGCAGTGGTCTACAAACGTGAATAAAAATGCTATGTTATGTAATGGAGTTCGCACGCATATTTACCTAGCAAGGTTGCGCGTTGCGACACACGTGTTTTCTCACGTTTTCTCTATTAGAAGGTGTCGTGACTGCGATTGTGACCATATCTCAAACCTCTCGTTATTGGTGCAACCAAATTTTACCTTTATCTACTAACCAATCAGGATACTCGATAGTAATTGGTAGAATAGCCTTTGTCCCCACGATGACCTTCAAGTGTTTAGTAGAGTGAAAGGTAAAAGCGTGTTGTGTAAGGGTACTGCTCGATACCTCAGCACATGTAAGGGAAAACGCGATACAACTTAGTTTCCGAACAGCCATGTACTCCGATTTTATGTTAGGTTGTTAATGTCTTCCCTCTTCTCATTTTTTTTAAAACTGCCCTTTAGAAACGTTGCGTGTATCGGCGGATTTGACAACTCGAATTTACTGTTTCGTTGGATTTCAGTAAGTCTGTGAACTATGACCGGTAAGTTATGGCGACCACAATGAACGATGTTTGTGGCTTTCGTTTCTCGTACTGATGCTCGCAACGTGCTTGTCGGTCACATATTTACTATGTAGACATAGTGTAGACAGGTGCCGAGTAAATGATAAGATTTCTTGTTCCTTCGTTCATGAAATGTGCTTGGTCATATTGACTGGAATTTATTTATCTACCTAGCATTTCCTTAAATATTTTCTCGCATATTTGTGAACACGCTTACGAATGAGTAACCTATTATCGTGTCTTCTTTGAGATGAAAAGTATCATTTGATTTCAATTCGTAAAGTTACTTGTAAATTTTCCCTATCCGTGGGGAGATTTGTGAGATTCTATCTTCAGATGTTCTCAAGAAATTCTGCTTCATCAGTTGCGCGCCGGTTCACTTTGTTTTTGTATGAATTGTAGATTCGTTCAGGGCCGAGTTCTTTCCACGGAGTCCAGTGCTTTCACCCACGGCTTTGAAACCAGTATGGGGAGACTGTCTTGTATGCGGAGACCGTGGAACAGGGAAACACTACGGCATTGTAGCTTGTGAAGGATGTAAGGGCTTTTTCAAGAGAAGCGTGAGGAAGAATTTAAATTACAGTTGTCAAGGGAATGGCGCTTGTCCAGTAGATAAAATCCATAGAAATAGGTGTCAGAGATGTCGCCTGAACAAGTGCCTCGACATGGGTATGAAGAAAGAAGGTAAAAAGTTGTAGGAAATATTTTAAGTACAGATTTAAGGGGACTTCGTCGGACCTATATCACTTTCACCTTGAAAGTTGACAGAATTTTTGCGAGAAATCGTCTCTTTATGTAACAGTAATGCCTCTCAAGGGTCTATTGCTAATGTAATTTAATTACTATTTTTATAATTTCTTTCTTTTGGAGTTTTATTCTGCGCTAACACATAAGCCTAGCTTTAGGAACTTAGTTCAGAATTTACCAGAAGTTTTGACGGCTAAACGTGCTGGATTCTGTCAGTTTCCTAGAGTCTGAATTAAGTTGTATTCTGGCGTTATTGAATTATTTCGTTTTATTTCAAAATCAACAAGTTTGTTAAAGTCAGAACTTAAAAACAAGGATTTGTTCCGAATTTTGAATTTTTCGGTCTTCGGCTGTGTTGTATATCCTGTGGCCCTTTAGGTTTTACTTACACGCGTTAGCGTGAGGTTTTAGCCAAGCGCGCGCAGAAACAACCCAAAAGAAGATCTTCTTGATGATGTATTCTCAAGAGAGGTTAGTGTCCTTAAATTACAGCACTTTCAAAGAAGCATTTAAGTTCAGGTCATTTTGTTGTTTTTCGCCTAGTTTGGATTATGTTTGACAAGCGAATTTGCATCTCACGTGTCTTTACACGCGAAAAACCGCTAGAAATTGGGGGTCACGTTTTTCATTTGCGTGAGTGCTGCGCGCGCGAGTCATGAAGTCGCATGAGCCAAGTAAATGCTAACAACACGAGATGTAAAGAAAATTATAACAAATTATCGAGCTACTTTGTCGTGCTAGTGAACGGTAAAAGGAGATCAGAAATTTGTTTTAAGAATGTCCTGGCACAAATCCATGTCTGTGATAATGTGAATCCCGTACCTTGTAACAGACTGAGGTTGGTTATGTAACAGTTCTGTCTTATGTGAAGTGCAGACGTCCTAACAGTACGCATGTACATGTTCAATGTTTTTTGCCCATAGCAGTAGCTGTTATATTCTTTTTCATTGGCACTTCTATTTGATTAGTAAAGAAAATGAATTCTAAATTTTCATTGGCACTAGCATTGTAACTTTATTAGCAATGCCCCATGAAATTTTCATTTTGCAGAGTTGTTGTTTAGATTGATCAGCCTGTATCTCTGTATAATTCAGTAAAAGTGCATTACTACATGCTCATAATTTGGTTTAAAAATGGACGTTTCATAATAATCACTGTCACTCATCACCTTTGTTTTACTAGTGCTACATGTCATGGCATGTGCCCAGATAAGCATATTGAAGGATTACTTTTATGGTTCACTTACAGGGAAAATACCTAAAAGTTACATAATATAAAAAGGAGAAAACAAGGATGAAAATGCAAATAATGAAATTTGTGCTGTATTGTACAGGGCCAAGAAACTAAGTCTGGTATCACAGACACCCACACATAAATCTTGTACGTAATTCATGTTTTTGAATATCATATAGGCATATTCAATTTCTAGCCTTTTAATTGCTGTAAAGTCAACTGCCATAAACTAAAAACATATTTCATAATGAATGCAGGCAGAAGATTGGGACACATGTCACTGTACTTCAGATGATATTATCTGAAGATGATGCATGCTCTACCATGTGAATTTCTCTTTAAAAAATCACTGTCCTTTTGATTACATAATGCCATATCTTAAATCAAGGGCACACAGACTAGACTAAAGCATCTGAGTCTAAGTGGCCTGTTGTTACGGTAACTAAAAGCAAGTGTTTGAACTTGTAAATTTAAGAGCAGCACAGTTCGTGATTTATTGTAAAATTTGACTTTGTAAATGACAACATCTTACTTAGAGATTTTCATGTCACTTTTCCAATGGTATTAATGATGTTTTCCCAATGTAAGTTGTCTCAAATATCCTTATTTTTTGTGGGTGATTTGCACCCATACAGTTCATTATAGTTTTCTTCTTTTAAATCTGTGCCCTTAAATAAGAGTTGCCAGATGTCTTGGTTCCCTTGCATAAGTATCTAAGCCCTGATGGCTATCAGCCTCTGTGTTTTGTTTGCTACTTAATGAGAACAGTAATAAAGGTGTTATGAAGCATATCCACATGTACTGAACCTCAGCATATTTGTTCCAGCTGTGCAGTGTGAAAGAAAACCACTAATAAAGTGTGCAGAGGATTGCTCTGGTGAAAATCACACAAGATGTGCAAGTCTGTCTCCTACAAATCAATCAATTCATTCAGTTTACCTGGAAAAAACAGAATCACCATGTCATACACCAAGCAGCCCACTTGCTTCATCACCAATAAATGGCACACTTCAAACATCTCTTTCTCAGTTCCTCTCATCAAATCAGTATGACTGCATTCTAAATCCCGAACATCTTCAATTTAAATTGAATCCTCCAACATTGGGTGTTTCTACATTATCCATGGAGTATGTTTATGAAATAGCCACTCGTCTCCTATTCCTGACGGTCGATTGGGCGCGTAGCATACAAGTTTTTCGCAATCTTGATAATAATGATCAACTTGTGTTACTACAAAGCACTTGGTCAGATCTTTTTATGCTGGGTGTCGCACAGTGTTCAAGTTCTTTCCCCTTGTCACCATTATTAACACTTGCGGCTTCACACATGGAACAAAATGAAGGAGGTGGAGATAGAAAGTCTCCTGTGCAAACCAAAGAACCAAACATGGTCGAGAAGATAATGAGTGTAAAGGACCTCTTGTTTAGTCTTGAAAAACTTGAGTTGGATTCTGTGGAGTATGCATTCCTGAAGACAATAGTACTCTTCAATGCAGGTATGCTAAATGCTTCTAACCTTTTCAAAGTGTATTTGTGAAAATAACAAAGTCATACAAGACTACATAACTGGAGAGTCTTTCTAAGTTAAGTAGGTTGTTCCACAGTCATAGAATCTTAGTGAGACGTGTCATGCCAGATTCCTCCTACACATTAATTGCAAGAGCCACTACTGTACAATAACAGTCTCCTCGGTGAATTGGCGCAAGCACTGATCAATTAAATGATTTGCGGTTTTGAGTGTTACTTGGTTCCTTAATTAAAGAAATGAAAACAGATTTTTCTGTGTAGGGCAATATGTTACAACTGTACAGGCTGGGTTCACGGGTGCATGTTATTTTGCTGAGAGTCCAGGTCTTTTGGAACGGTAATTGCCACGAAGAGAAAAATCTATTTGTATTCCTCAAGTAGAATGAATTGCTGATAGTTTATTAAATTTCCATTGCCGTTCTTTGTTTGATTTCATCACCTTGACCTACTTCCGGGTCAGTCTAATGCAAATGTTCCTTGTCTCCTTCGCAGACTGTTCAAGTTTAAAGAATCCCAAACAAGTTGAAAGACTTCAAGAAAAGGCTCACTGCGCCCTTAAACTTTATGTTGAAAAACAGCGCCCAAGCAATCCCGAACGGTTTGCAAAGATACTACTACGGCTGCCAGCTACGCGGGTTCTTACGCAGCGAGCTGCAGAGGAACTGTTCTTCTCGCCGTTGATTGGAACGGTCAGAATCGAGAGTATAATGAACAATATTATCTCAAACTCTTTAGCATTTTAACGTGAGATTCGTTCGCTATCGTAGTTTAAACTTAAAATTTCACATTATTTTTCGAATTCTCTGCCCATAATAGGGCTCTTCCATTACAGGCCTTGGATACTACGGGCGACGAACAGTTGTCTTTTGTGTGCTGGTATAACTTTATTTTTTTGAGAGCGTTAAAGTAATGGGCTCCTCGGATTTCTGGGTGTTAAGTCTTCACACGTTTCTGTTCTTTCACCTTTAAAAAGGGCATGGGACTGAAAACGTCAACGCGTTCCTATTCGTTATTTTTTCTGAAAGAGGGTTAAGTCGCTTAGCTTAAGGCAAATTTGCGCCAGCAAACTAGTTACAGATAACAAAAATAGTGGCACAACCAACCGAAACACAAAAGCCTGAAGGGGAATGGATTACAGCCGGATGCATGAACCTAAGCTTGAAAGCATTTTCGGAATGGATGTCAGTTTGTCTAAAAGTACCACCAATCGTTCCGTCTTGTTGTGCTCGCAAAATGCCTTTGTTACTGAAACTGTAGCTTTAAGTGGGTAAGCGCTAGTCCTGATAAAGAAACAAGACAGAGAAAAGCAAAAACAAAGGATAGATAATGTCACACAACGCGTGTCCTCGACGTACGTTTCTAACGGTCCCGTAGATCCTTTTCCACTTGCACCCTAACAACTAGCCTTTGGTAGTTAGGAAATTGAACGCGTCAAGGTTAAGCATACGACGTATCATTATGTTTACTGTGTAGCTGAGTCGATTTCGAGTCAACAAGTAAACGTTTGAAAAGAGAGATCATCCGGCAAATTCCCGATCACATGCTAGGTGAGGGTGATTTTCGAGCACAACTTACGACGAAAATTGAAATGGGAAAAATTCGAAATCAACTATCAGACAGTTTGGTTTGTAATTCCATAATTCATTCACTGATTGACCCAATTAAGCCATATTTTATATTTAAATATGTGTAATTAGCCAGTTACTATCTGACTCCATAATGAGTTAAAACCAAAATCTGCCTCTATCTTTTCATTCGTCCGAAAGAAAAAGGTAGGTGTAATTGTTTCTGAAAAATTCAGACAAAGCTCTATTTATTATGTTTAGAATCGTGTGGACAATTTGAAATTCGTCTAAGTACAGTGAAATGCCAGGCGCGTTGCCTTAATATGTCCAGCTTGGGCAACTCTTTATCAAAACTGATTTATGCCGTTCAGGATGTCAGTGAATTACTGTGTTATTTATGAACCTCATCAGTCATAACCCCTTTTTTGAAAGGTTGAGTGGATTAATTATATTCCGCTCGAGTAAGAGTTGTACAGGTTGGTACAAACAACAGTAATAGAAAAAAATAATATTCTGATATTATAATTTTATATTTATTGAATATACAAGATGAATTTAGTTAGCTATAAATATTGTTCATGTTTTATATAACAATTGTAGTTGCTTAACCAGCCAAATGCTGTAAAATTTTGTGAATAGAGTTTTTTAGGTGAAGAAAATGAGACGTGTTCCAATTTAGAAGCATAAAAACAATGCGCCAGATTTTAAAGTTAGATATCTCTTAGATACAGAATAGTCTTGGCTAAATTTTGTGATGTCGTGCATGCGACGTAATCTCTCGAGTTTTTTTCGTGTCGCAGTATTCTGTTCTAAGAAGATACATTTGTTGTTTTTGAAGGTCCACTGAATCTCAGAATCGAGGTTAAGAGGAGATCGAAAGTTTTCATATTGTAAGGTCCGTTCCATAGGGTAAGGAGTTGCTACTAGTCCCATTTCAGACAGTTGTCACAGCCCTAGCGTAGTATTCACAAACCCTGAAAAATATTGGCTTAAATGAATTGTTTTCGTGTTCTAGATGGCTTTTCCTTTTCATTTTCTCCCTACTATGCCCCAGGAGGTAGACTTTGCCTATTACGTCTAGACGATGATCACTCTAAGGGCATTTTTCAGGCTCAAAATCAAGAGAGGGAATTGGGGCTTGTCAGAAACCACAAAGTTTCCATCTCAAATGAAAGGCCGTACTGAATATCGCATAGAAAGCGGAAAAACCTAGAGAAGATTGATCGAACAAATACTGATGAGGGAGGATGGAGCTTGGCAATCCGTCAGACCAAAAAACTGCGATCGTCGCTGGCAAGTTAGCTATTACAACCGAAGATATTGGAAGCAAACAGGGTCTCGAAGTGAGCAAAACCGAAATGTACGGGATTTTTTCTCTATCCAACTTCATGCAAATTCGAAGCGAAACGGAAACAAACACACGTAACCCTAACTATATTCGTTTTCCTCTATTACAGGCGATATTTTTCGTCGCTCAGCCGTTGCAACGGTTCTTAGGCCTTAAAGCATAGCATGATAAGCTATCGTTTGCTTGCTGCTGTTTCTTGCATACTAAATTGAGAAAATTATTCTTCAGCGCTGAATGTGGCACTCGTAATGGAAGCCGAATGCTTATTCCGCGCGCGAAGCAGGTAACACTTCTGTCACGCAACACATTGTAAGGTGTGCTTGTTACGTGTCAACAAAGTCGCGAACCTCTTGCGAAACGTGCTTAAACGCATTATCGTAAAGTCACAGTCGCTGAAAGGAAGACTTAACATGGATCCAAGCAGCTTTGAAAACATTAGACGGGCCGTCAAGGAACAGCACTTCAAGGATCGTAGGTTAGAGGCACTAAAATCGAGCTTGTCGTGTGCTTATGGATATCTATCAGGCGAGCAAGTCGCTCTTCTCATTACGGAATTTACGTTCGCCGATGCGAAGATGGATGCTCTTAGAGTTTGTGCTCCTCGCTTGTACAGCATCACTTGTTCGCAAGCTGCATCTGTACTCCGTGCTTTCGACTTCAAAGACCACAGAATGAAAGCCTTGGAAGCGATGTCGCCCCACATCACCGACAACGACTTATCAGCATTGGACAGCGCTTTGAAATTTGCCGACGAAAAGAGTAGAGCAAGGGAGATTCTTATGAATCGTCCGCAACCAGGATTTCCGCCTCAACAAGGGCCATACCCGGGGGCGGGGTCTCCTGCTCCGGGTTTCCCTGGGATGCCAGCACCCCAACCTGAAGCCTACCCACCATTTGGAGGAATGGGACTTCCAGTGGCAAATCCTTATGCATATCCTGAACCTGGAGCGGTTCCCCCACCGTATCCAACTGGCACGGCCCCACCTCCTCCCCCTGGTGGCCTTGGAGCTGTGGTGGGTGGAGTTCTAGGTGGCCTGTTTGGACCTCATCATCCACCCCATGGAAATCATCCATACCCACCTCCACGTTGAACCGTCAGAACATGTGTTTAGTTTACTGTTCTTTTTTAAGACTGTTAAATCAACTTAATTCTCACTTCAAACTATTCCAGATAATTTCAAATCACTTCAAGTCGAGCTAGCTAGCATAAGTAATGTTTGCTGTACTACTTTTCGAGCCATTTACAGAGGAACACCAATAGCAAGATTAACAGAGGAAACCAAATCTTAAATGTTTTTCTCAATTTTAAACTATTTTCAAATGCAGCGAATGACATACACAAGTGCCTTCGGGATGGTCAACGAAATAGCGGTTCGAACCTCCACCATTATGTTTCGATCCTAAAATTGTTTGATATTTTACATGACTTGTTTCATCTTAGGATTTCTTTCGAAAGAATAATCAAGTCTTAGGGAGAACACATTTTTTTCTGGCAGTAGTCTAACTTGGCATTGGTGCTCCATTGTACTAGAACGAAAATCAAAGCACAGCATAGAATTTTTTTTTCTTAGAATAAGTAAGCATATGAAATGAAACGAGATCGTTTCACATAACAGCAAACGTTATTGTCATGCGACGATTGGAAAAATTCACCGAGAAAGCCTATAATAGCCACAAGGCAACTGACAGAGACGCTTTTGCGCAGAGATTGGTACCAAGTTCCTGCTGAGTCTGCGAAATCGTTAATTTTTAAGACACACCTGTTTCTTTTCAGAGGAACCTGTCCATGAAAGAAAGTCAATGACGTATACGTAACTAATTGAACTGTTTCTTTCCCTTTTTTTTTTTTACTCGTTTAAAGAAACACTTTTAAACGTCTTCGTTAGCTCTATCCTCGTGCACAGGCATATCTCCGAATGTCGCTCATGTGATTAGTACAGCCGCTCAAGTAGCCTTTAATTGTTCGAATTTTCATTCACCATAAAGAAGTCTAGCTTTCTGAATAAGAGAATAAAACTGATATTGTAGTAAACGATTGGTTTTTATTATACTCTTTTCTGTGCTTGAGTTGGCGTACGGTACCAACTGTACATGCAAGAATTTTGTACCTGCCAGCAATACCTGTTCAAACATTTAGCAAATTCTTCGGGTATTGTGGGGGATCCGAACTTCAAGGACGATAAATTCGACACGCTGAAGAAGTCACATTGTTGATTGTTCCAAACGAGCTTGTTCCTCAACTTACTTCTGAGTTTCAGTTTCACGAAGGAAAATCCAACTTAGAAGTGAAGGAGGGGGGACATTAGGGCTTGCGGTATCGGACAATTTTCCACGCGATATTTCGGTTATTTTAATCTCGAATTATGATATTGTGATTAAAAATATCGTCCAAGTCCTCCGCCGTTTTCCGGTTTCAGATTGTTTCAGATACAGGCTGAAACAGGACCTCAAACAGCATTCAGATCCTCTAATCCGACACGCGAGTTTTAATTGTTATCTCCGTGTTATTTGCTCTACCCGCAACAAATAGAGATGACATCGAGTCAATATGACCACTTTCATATATGGCTGGATTGATATTAATAATAATAATAACACCTTTATTCAGACACGATAATGTTTAAAGCTGAACAGCTTGTGGGGTCGTGTGTAAATGCAAATGAACTCTAAATTAAATAAATTCAAATGATGATGGTTTTTGAGGAGAGGGGAAAACCGGAGTACCCGGAGGAAAACCTCTCGGAGCAGGGTAGAGAACCAACAAACTCAATCCACTTATGACGCCGGGTCCGGGAATCGAACCCGGGACACATTGGTGGAAGGCAAGCGCTCTCACCACTACGCAAACCCTGAACTCTCTTGTTTAAATTTGAATTAGCCTTTCGGGCCTCGTTCTCCAGTTTAAAATTCAAAAGAACGCATAATCTCAAGCGAGGCTCTATTTGAATTTAAACAAAAGAATATCAATCCGGCAGCCATTCATGAAAGTAGTGTTTGACATTTATTTTTATAGCGGTATTTCAGTGTCCAGAACCCCTCTCCCCCCACTTCCCCTACCAATTTCCCCTGCATGAAGGTCTGTTCCAATAGTCCTTTATACAGTTGATGGCTTGGTGGCCAAGCCTTTGACCAGGAGTGAGGCTAAGGGTGACCTTGTTATGAAACAGATTTTGCTCCTTTTCAAATGCAAATTTCTTTGTTGTCACGCTAACTAGATACTGGTCTCTATCACAACAATGTCACCCTCAGCCTCATTTCAAATCAAAGGCTTGGCAGCTAAGTACACAACTGTAAAATGGTCACAATATCACATGCGAGCAAGATGCGTCCATAGTGGGAGTATTTGCTCTGACGAAGACAAACTAAAAAACAGCCGTCGATAATGAAGTGAGATAAGGTAAAATAATTATTACAATAATAATAATAACAATAATAATAATAATAATAATAATAATTTCAAAACTTAAAACATTACAATAACTTCGCGTGGGTATTGTTTTTCCCCTGGTACATTTCCAAATTAGTTGACACGGAATACATCTGTTAAATTCGGTTCTTTAGGATCAGACTCGTATCAGATCCAAACTAACTTTGATAACAAAAACGACCTACATATAAAAATCGCGAAAGCAACTACTAGTTCGTATTGAAAGAATTTAAAAAAAAAACATGCATCGAAATTATCCTTATAAAAGTAAATTACATTAAAAAAATATATGAGAAGGGAAATGACACTCTTACTCTAAAAAACTGTAAAAACAA